CACACAGGGCTTGTCTGCCCCAAAGGTGCCACTGTGTATGGATCTAGTAGGTTGGCTGTGTCTAGGACACCACTGGGGGAGGCATCATGCTGTATGGTAAGCTGATATGTACTGCAAGGTACCATATTCATCATTATGCACCTGACACCCTCCTATGCATCTCTTCTTTAGTTAGCCTGAGGTTTTGCTTTCACAGGGCCTGGCTGAAGTCCAGGATTGGAGGTCACTTTAGACAAGGTGAAGTTGCTGCTGTTTAGCTGGGAATAGCATCTGGCTTTGGCGACTGGATGAAGGTTCACCTCCCTTTGTCCAAGGGGTTTGCAAGCTATGAGGTGTTTTGGGATCCTTGATTGCTTCTTGTGTGAGGTTGATGAGGCTGGTCCAGTAGAACTCTTATAGGAATCAGTTTGCCAGCTACTCATCTCCACTCCCATGTTTCATGTGTGCAGAGCAGCAGGGCATGGGAGATGGGGAGGGGTTGGCTTGTATAGCTCAGGATAGTTTATGTCTACTCTTAGAATTGCTCCAAATAGATATATAGCCTCAGACCCTAGTCTTATTAGACGTCAATGGAATGAAGGTTCCTAAGCCACTAAGGTACTTTTAAATATTGTACCCAATATCTTTTGGCCTTTCTCCATGTCAGAGTACATCTGTGAGAGAGAGGACAACAATTTGAGATGGTGCATGAGAATCTTCCAAGCCTGATATTCTTCAACAAATGTGCTCATGTTTTAAATTAATGTAGATCACTCAAAGATTGTATGATGGGCACTTCCACATGTTGGAATACCACCGTCCTCCAGTCTAAAAAAACCCAGTACAAATCTGTTCTGTTTTGTAGTAAGAATTCAGTTATTCAAGCCTTGGGGGAAGGACTGAAATGACCCACTGTTCTGGCCACAGAAACCAAATTGCATACATTCTGTTCCCTCCCTGACAACGTGAGAGACATGCCGTGTGTGTAATGCCAGGATCAGCAAGTGCTGCTCTAACTATTCTGAGTGCCTTGATGGTGACAGGGAGGCTAGTTCACAGTCCTTGTAAAGAGAGCCACTCTCTGGTTTGCGGCCTCAATTTTTCTTGCACATGTTTAGCCATCTGAGAGTCATTAGAGGCCTTCATAGAAAAACCTCAGTGGAGTCTTGTTGCAAATCTTTAAAGCGAGTCACAAAGACAAAGCCAGGGGCAGGGGGGACTCACAAGAGAATGAGTCTGATTGCTTGTCCACACGTCAGTGCTTCTTAGGGCTTTTTCATATGTGCTGCTGTTCAGTTTTTCAAATTGAAGTTCCCTGTGTCCACGGACTTGGTTCTTCTGAATTTATCAGCCACTCCCTGCACATTGGGTAAATCACTTTGAAGTTTGATTCAGTTCATTTTGGGCAAAGTTAGCATGGAAAAAAGTGTGTTTGGGCACATCTGTATGTTGGTTCAATGCCACCTCTTAGTCAGACGTCCTGCAGCTATCCCACAATGCATTGCTTCACACTGGGCTCACAGGTTTGTTTATCTGTGTATCTTCTATTGCCCTAGGGTCATGCTGACAGCACAGCACCGCCCCACTACAATGCTAAGATGTATCCATAAGTGCCATGTTAGCAATTATAGGTTCCCCAGCGTTCATACTCTTCTCTGTGTTAGAGCAGCCATGTCTTGTGTCTCTGCAGGGGGCTGTACACAGGTTCTGTTTTCCTGGTAGTGTGGGGAGGGGAGGCTGTCCAGGCCTACCTTCACACAGCCAGCTGTATATATCTGTAGAAATACCTGCCTCTGCTTTGAGAAGTAAGACTGGAAGCCCCGAAGACACCATAGACCCAGAGCTTGAGGGTTAGTGCCTGAGCAACTGGGGCTTGTATTGTACGTGTAGGTTTTGCTGGAACATGGATTGGTGCAGCCACTGACCAGTGCATATAGAAACCATACAGAGGCCTGTTAGCAGCATGAACCAAAGGAGGCCTCAGTAACAGCTTGAGCCATACACTGTGGTGGCCAGAAAGTAGAACATATATGGCCTATGTTGAAGAGCTGAGCAAGTTAGGAGTATTAGCTGCTAGGCAGGTAAGAAAGCCAGTGGATGGAAAACAATAGATAAGATGGGTACAAGACCCCAAAAAAGAGCTTAGGGTAAACAAATCCCCATCTCGGGGCAGAAGGTTACAATGTCTGGGGAGACTGAATGTGAATGATGACACCTAAAGATGTTTAGGTACCTGGCAAGAACTAGGATGTATGTGCTGTAAACACAAAGTCGTTTTGATCAATGTGTGAAAGGGGCTTAGGAAACCTGAATGCTTTGCACTGAGCCAGGGGCTGGGTTTTATGCTGGTGCCATATTTTACACGTTGGAATGGGATATGACATTAGTGTCCAGTGTTGTTTTTGAACAATAAACCCTAAAGAGTCCTTGTTGTTACTAAGAACAAGAGCCTGTGGTCTCTATTACAACTAACAAAGTTATTAGTAGTAATAATATTATACACCAGAGGTATCCTTGACAGCACCTACACAGACCATCCAAACTGAGGGAGCCTGACATTATCGGTATTGCTTTACTCCAGACCACACCTGAGTCAGTTTTACAGTATGCTATATCATGGAGACCTCAGAAAGAATATTGCATCAGGGCTCTTCTTGTGAAAGAAGTGCCATACGGCAGTCAGGCAGAATTTCTTTTACTTTCCAGGGAAAATTTTAAGGAAAATAGAATATTTAATTTTTTGTCCACATTTTTCAGTGGGAAATTTTGAATTTTTTTCATTGAAAAACAATAATTTTGGCCAAATACTGTTGAAAATTGAAAAGCATGAAATCAAGAGATTTGGCTAATTTGTTTCTTCATTTTTTTTTTTTGGCTCAAGTGTTTTATCCAGTTTTCTGTCAAAGGATTTGATCTATTTTAGAAAAATAGACATTTTCTGTGAAAAATGTTGTTTAAACAAAAATCTAATTTCCTGTCGGGGAAAAAAGTTTCACTGGAACTTTTTTTACGAGCCTTGCTAAAAAAGTTGGCTTGAAGTCATCCTAGGGAATGATACAAAGTTGACAATTAGCATGGCGGGGTATTTCCTAACAGATGGCAATCAGAAGATGGTGAGCCAATTTTCTGCACTCCCTTTGTTGGCTTGTTAACCCTCTTTGCTGTGGATGAGGCAGTGGCTACAAGAGTGGTCTCTGATTCAAACACAAGACTGAGAAGAACTTTTGTTCCCAACTCTGCCAGGGACTCCCTGTCTCACGCTCCTTTTTGCTTTGCTTCCCTTTTTGGTTGTGAGCTCATTCTGGTCTTGGAAACATCAACCATTCTAGCATTATTCCTGGTTTTATGCTTGGGGATAATCTCTTCTGTCTGTAATATCTCCAGAATGAATCTATCAAGTGCTCTTACTTCCCTTTGGCAGGAAACTGGGAGGATATATTCGCAAGGGTACTTGAAGTGCACAGATATGGAAATACCTTTTCAAAATCACTTACAACGCACGCTTCGGTCTTCTTACTGGTGGTGATGCACAGTGCTGCTGGAGACAGACAGATACACAAATGCACATATTTTGTGCACATGCCTACACATAAATGTTAGTTGGTACTACATTTTCGGTACCTCGGTGTATGGGCCTATCTCTAATAACTCTGGAAATAAGGTGTACAGCACATGCAGTACATTAATATGTTAGTTGGCCAAAGAGGGATGAGTTTAGGTCAGTTAATTCATGCTTGTATGATACAGACCATGGATTTCTAATCAGGACTGCATATGTTCAGAAAGCAGAGAAAGAGAAGTATAAAGGAGCAGGTATAAGCCGTTGTATCCACAGAAAAGTTCCTGTCTGTCACTGTTTTCAAATATAAGTATGCCAGACCTGTATGAGGGCAGCCAGGGCTTGTCTAGTACCAGAGAAGCTTCTAGGGGTGTCATTTTGGTGTTAAAGTCAGGTCCAGGTCCAGCCAGGCAAGTAATTAGGTTTGCATTTCCAAATGCATTCTCTGCCACTGCCTTTGTGACCCTTGGTTTGTCCCACAAATTAAAATCATCAACTTTGACTGGCAAAATGTCTGCAGAAACTGACTGGCAAAGTCACCTACCTGAGTATTCACAGGATGGATGGTTCAAATTTGTGTGAGCGTTTGGGCCCATCCAGTTTGGTAACACCATGCAAGATATCTGAGCAATCACCACTAAGTCAGGTAACTTGAATTTAGAATATTTGCTACCAAACCACAGCGATTATTCTCCAGCTAATCAACATTATTAATTACCTTGCAACATGTCTATTGTAGTAGCACATAGACATTAACCAGATCATGGCCTATTGTGCTAGGCACTGTGCAGAGGTATAGTAGATGAAACATGCTATCTGTACATGGTAAATATAATGCCCCCAAATGCCTGCTGCATTAGGGGGCTCAATGGGAATGATTCCCCTTGCTGCATTCAGTAGCTCAGTTCTGGGTGTGAACTGGCATGGCAAGCTGAACTCCCAAGCGGACCTGGGAAAGAAAGACAAGGGTGTGCCCACAGCCAGGTGGACTCACAGCACTTGACAGCACAAAGCAGCCAGTGCTAGATTTTCTCAGCGGCTTGATTGCTTTCCCTCTCCACTCAGCCTCCCTAGCTCTCTCTGTCCATTGTCTTCCACCCCTGGAGCAGCTCTTCCCCCTCCCAGAGTCTGTCTCTGTCTCCCCACTCTCTCCGTTCCACCCCTTTCCTTCTCCCCAAAACTCTGAAGCAAGAAAGGGAAGAGGAGACTGACTCTGGTGGGGCATCCTTCACTGAGTAGCACTGTATGCTCTGGGTGGTGCCTGCCAGGAGGGACTGCAATTTAAAGTCACTCTGTCCTTCACTCAGCCATGAGTAGACCAGGTAACTGCCCCCACTGTGCCCTGGTGGAAGTGTCCATCAGTTGAGTTTGCCCCAAAACCATGGGCTATACCACAGCATCTGTGCTTAAGAATTCCCTATAAGAAGAGAAACTGAGGATGTCCTGGCTTGTTATTTTTCAGATCTTCCTAGCAGTGGCTAATTTTGAGCAGAATGAAAGGGGTCAGGAGTTCTCTGTAATATACAAGTGGAGCTACAGAACAGAGAAATTCATCTCGTACCAGAGGATCTCCACGCACAACGCTAGGGACTGGGAGGCCTTTGTCATTGAGGGAGAGGCCTTCCTCGCAGTTGCCAACCACAGAGAAGGTACCCAGACCTTATTCTTACTGGCACAGCTCAGTCTGTACATGTTCAAGGCAGATGAACTAATGGGAGAAAGACACTGGGAGGCTACGAGTCTTTTGGGCTGAGGCTGTGACACCATGTTTCACTGTCCAAAGCAGCTTTGTGTTTTAATGGCTATATTGTGGGTGCAATTCAATGCAGGGGTGGAAGGGTGGTCCCCATTGATTCAGTGGGAGTTCTGCCAGTGGTTTTCACAGACCTGGGATTATCCCTAAAATACGCAGTTGTGTATTTTATACAGTAAACCTTTGGGTTTCCGGATTGCTGTCTTCAGCAGAAGCCACTGGGGGCTAGAGCAAGAAGTCAGCAGTAACTTGGGGTTCTTTTTTCTTGCTGGATGCTATGATTTATTTTCATTTGATTATCAAGACAGGGAAGGGAGAGGAGTTGTAACAGGAGCTGACATGTTACATGAGTATTGCCATGTATTAGTTGGATCAAGGTCATGTAATGGAAGCCAAGAAAGCAGCTTTTTTCTTCCTTTCATTCTTCCATGTGAGGCTTTCTTCCACCTTCCACTTCAGGCAAGCAAAATACTTTGTCAACATAATTAAGGTCCTGGTTAGACAATGTACCTATAGTAATGTAATAGGCATTTACAACACAGTCATTTGCTCAATAAGATGCAAAACTACCTCTAAAAAATCAGGGGCAAAATCAGTCTGGTGTAGGTAACACTGATTTAGGTGCAAAGTAAGGATCCTTGTGGGTGATACTTTTTATTGGGCCAACTGCATGGTTGGGATAGACTTAGACAAGCCTTCGAATGCAGCACCACCTTTTCAGGTCTGTTAAATTTGAGAGGAGAGAGATTCTCAGAGGTTGCTAGCATCTGACTAGTGTCAGATAGTCTGACTAGTGGAAAATCAAGCCCTTTTGAAAAAGGAAGAGGGTCATTATCTCCCATGGTGTGAAGAAACATTAGCAGGAATCAGGTAGCTTATAGTGAGCCACAAAGTCAATATCCATGTCCAGTCCTTGGCTCTCAGCATCCAGCCAGCCCATGATTTTTTGGATTAGGGTCATTGTCTGTTTGCAGTTTACTCATAGGTAGTCATTTGTTCTGGACAAGCAGGCTGTTATCTGCTTCACTTGCCACCTAGCAGTGAAGTATAGTACTGGCAGCCTACATTGTGCCTTACCCCAGGACAGCACCTCTGTCTGCTCCAGATCCCCGTGTCACTTGCAGCAGAGTGCAAAGACAGTGTGAGTTGTAGAGGTGTGATAGAGTTGTTCACCCAGGATGCTGCTGTGAGACAGTGAAGTGTTAATTATCATCTCCATTTTACAAAGAGGAGGCAAATCATTGAGTGGCTTTCCCTCAATAAATTAGTTGCCTAGTTAGGAACGCGTCCATATTTCCTGGTTGTGGTGCTGCGTTGCTAACCACAAAGGTGGCGAGACTTTCTGTGGGCAAGCCAGATATCACAAATGGGAAGAAAGATGCTTGGGGTTAAATCCCACAGGCTGCAATTTCTACTGGGATGAACAGTGCTCCAGGATCCTGTCTCTGCCCCATCCAGGCCCCACCTTGCTGGGCCATCCTCAGGTTGCAGTGTTTGGATCCCAGCACTCAATACATAACCTCCTGAGTCTGCGTAGGCTCCAGGCACTGTCTCTTTCCATGGCCCCACATAACGGCCTCTAGGGCCCAGCTCTCCCACTCCCTGGGAAAGTGCTCTAACCACTAGGCTGCTGGGCACATTCTGTTCCCTGCTGCAGGCAGTCTCTTGTCATGGTTGATTTTCTGATGGGAGGACTGGGACAGACACCTCGGTGGAACAGTTCTGGCCGTGCTGCAAAGGCTAAAAGATTCATAAGGAACCTGGGCATCCTAGTGGTTTGCTGACAGTTGCACAGGGTGAACTGAGGTTGCACTTTATGCATTAGATGTCTTCATACCGCATCTGTGCCTCTGAGAAGTGCATTAGGGTTTGGCTTACTGCGTTTTAGTGTCACTGTCCCACATCGCCTCCTCTTCCTCAGGCCTGAGAGCCATAGGGCAGGCCCCCGTTGCAGGCCAGCCACCAAGCTGTTAGCTAAAGGCTGGCAGTTCAGATGAGCAGTGCCTTTGTGGATCTGGCTGTCAGGGTCACACGGGGAGCACAGGGTGCAGGGAAGGGTCACACTTTGGTGGCCTGGCCATGGAGCCCACGTGTTGTCCCCTCAGCCAGCTTGGAGTGCCCCAGGCAGAAGGCACAGTCCCTGGAAGGAGCTGAGGGCTCCTGCCCATGGCTGAGCTCTCCAGCCGTGGTCCAGCCAAGCACTTAGCTTTGTACATGCTCAGTGAGGCCTCACCTGGGACGTGACATCAGCAGTTCTCCTCATATGCTGCAAATCAAGAGTGGGCTGTGTTTTAAGGCCCCCGCCCCACTTTTCTGCTTCATGCATCAGGGGTTTGGGGTTTTTTTTAAGCTTTCCTCAGAGGCACTGGGTGTTGGCTACAGCCAAGGCTGGGAACTGTGCCAGTGCTTCTGCTGGGACTTAAACATGGAGGTTCCTGGCTAGAGGGTCTTGCTCAGGGTCAGACTAATGCCATGTTTGGGGTCAAGAAGGAATTTACCCCATGGTCAGATTGGTACAGGGGGGAGGGAGGAGGTTGTCTTCCTCTGTAGCAGGGGACATGGCCTCTATCTGGGATCTCTTGAGCATATATTAGCAACCTTTTATAGAAGCAGGACACTGGCTGCTGTGGTCCCCCTGCTTTTCCTGTGGCAGGGTTGGGTGTTTTGTCTTGTCAGGCTTGTCTGTAGTTTCACTAAGAGTTTAGATGATGGATTTTTCTGGGATGACTTGGATAGGGCTGATCCTGCCTCAGGCAGGGGGTTCCTCTGGAGGTCCTTTCCAACTCCACTCCTCTATGATTCTGAGTCCCATCTGCCCACCACACTGTAGGCTTGAGCTCTTATGGTCTTCAGCTGAAGGAGCTCAAAAGCTTTCCAGAGCAGGTATACAAATCATGGGATGCAGAAGACAGGACCCATATGACATCCTCTGGAGTAGCACCACCTAGCGGGGAGTATTAGCAGAAAAACACCCAGCTTCCAAGTTCTCTTCTGTGAGCAAGACTCTGAGCTTTGAAGTAATGCTAGCAGATAGCCGTGGTTCTACTGGGTTTTATGGAAATGGCTGAGCCAGCCCAAAAAGCACGTTACCCTAAGTCTGGCAACACAAGCAGGAAGAACAGAGCAAGGCTTGTTACAGCAAGGATTAGTGGCAGGTCAGGAATTGGCTCATAAATCTGGAAACGTTCAGGCTGGAAGGGATGGTCCTGATCCTCGCTTCTGGCATCCTGTATCACACAGCGGTTTCCATCTGCAAATTCCTGATCTGGCCCATAAATTATGCTGAGCTGTAGAGAGAGGGAGAGAGAGAGAGAGAGAAATTGCCACTCTCTTTAGAAATAGCAGGATTAAAATCGCATGCATGAGAGGTGTGGGGTAGCTCTGCCCACAATTCTGATAGCTCTACTGCACCCAGGGGGCTTCCCCCACAAGGGAAGTCCTCAGGGGATGGAGTAAGCTGGCTTTCTGCTGGTTGTCCCCTCTGGAAAGGTCTTGACTAGGTTAAAGGGTTCTTTTAGTGGGGGAGCAGGCAGCCTGGCTTGGGCTGCTCAGCACAGCTTGGGAACAAGTGCAATACAACTGGAATGTTCATTGGAAAATTTCCAACTGACTAACAAGAGATGCATCCCAGGGGCTTCAACTGGAAGGGTATGAAGTCTTAGCCATAAAGTTATTCCACCTGTGGACTTCACAAGAGATGGATGAGCTCTTAGAACCAAGGCAGCGGGCACAGAAATGGACAGCACTGAACACGGATACCTACGGGGAAGTCATGGATTGCCTGTCTTGTTACAAAGGATAAATCAGGTTTCTGTAAGGCAGTGAGACTCCCTCAGTACATGTACCAGATTGCTCATCTCCAGCTGCCTGTGTGTAGCCAGGTACACTGCAGCTGAACTAAGTCCCAAACTCTGTCGCAGCACATATACTCAGGTGCCTAGGAGAGGGAGGGGCTGCATGAATCTGTCTTTCGCATCTCAGGAAGGGCTTCCATGGAGCCTTCATGCTGTCCTTGTGGGGTGAAAGTTGCTGTTGGTGTTGGTCGGAACAGAGCATGTAGCATCTCCTTGTTTATTGTCTGTGAAAAAAAGGGGACAGATTGATTGCTCCCTGTCAGCCATTTCTGTTTCAGCTCACTCCTGGCTGGTGTCTGATTTCTTACATTTAATTTCCCCTGATAGCATTCTCATTGCTAATGCACTCTCCTTTTTCTGCTGCTTCCCAGGAGATAATCACAACATCAACAGCGTCATATACAGGTGGAATCCCAGGACTGGACTTTTTGAGACCAACCAGACCATTTCTACCTCTGGAGCCTATGACTGGGAGTTTTTCACCATCGGACCTTATTCTTTCCTGGCTGTAGCCAATACATTCAATGGCACATCCACGAGGATCTACTCCCACATTTATGTCTGGCTCAGTGGCTCTTTTCAGCTCTTTCAGTCAATTCTGGTAAGGAGTTTTTGTTTCATTTCCTTTGGCTTCTCTAATGCAATGGCCCAATGCCTGTATCTATCCTTGAAGGGATTTGAGACAGTGCTGGCTAATAAATATGGAGATAAGTGTTTTCTGGCCCCTTAGTAAAGTTGCTACAATCTTCTAACACTCCTTCTACCTTTCTATGTCTACCTTTTCTTCCACCGCTACACATTTATGCTCTGCACTGGGCTGGTCAGTGCATCTTATCTCATAGCTCCAACAGTGTGTTTGTCCCAAAGGGAATGCCTATGCCCCAAGTTCAATAGTCCACAAAAGAAACATACAGGCAGAAGAGAAGGGCTGCTCCTGAGACACCATGCCATACACTGACTCAAAGCATTGTTGAAACCACGTGGAGCAAACATACAAGCCAAGGGTCCCTTGAACAATTTTTTATTTTTCTCATCCAATCCCCTGCTTAAGCCAGGTCTATTCCTACCTAAACCATCCCAGACAAGTGTTTGTCTAACCTATTTTTTAAACCGGCCCTCTCACACAGCTGCCAGGCACAATACCCTGAAACACTAAGAGCCCCGCAACTTGGAAAACGTAAAGCAGATGGATGAGGGCACTGTCAGTATCCTGCCACTGCTGATTCTCACCGTGACATCAACCATGATGATCCTGCCTTGAGCAGGGTACTGGACTAGATGACCTTGTGACATCCCTTCCAGCCCTACTTTCCTATATCTGGCCCACAGTTTGTGGATCAGGCACTCTGCTGCATCCTAGGAGATGGGCATTCAAACTCCCTGGAGCTGAAGGAGCCCTAGAACCCAGCTTTCCCATGCCTTGGGCAAGTAGTCCAACCAGTAGGCTGTTTGGGCAGATGGTTTGTCATCACCTGTATGCTGCTTGTCTGGGAGAGGCAGTTGTCTCCATAGACATCTGTCTGCTCCAGTCAGAAGCCATGTTAAGATGCTCATCCCTTAGGCAGTCAGGGAAAAGAGGACTTCTGACCAGACTTATATTAGCAGAGCTAAACATTCCCCATTGGAAGGATGGAGAAGCACACGTCTACACAGGTGCAGTGGGTTGCCTCCCTGATCCAGGACGTGGCTGGCAGCTATGTGTTAGACATCTGGTGGGTGAAGAACAGTCTTGGCCTCAGCACTCTTAAAAGAAAGGGAATCACAGGTGCCACCTGCTACAGCCCTCTGAGAACACAGCTGGCTGACGGGAACCGCCTGGCCTGGACATTAGCCCAAACTGCACAAAGCTGCTCGGAAGTCTCGTTGTTGATACATTCTCTTTGTCGGTTACTTTTGTGTGGCTTTTAAGTCAATAATTGCCACCCTGAGATTTTGGTTCCCAGAGGCCAGGAGAAGGGGAAGGTCCTGGGGGGTGGTTCCAGCTTGAATAGAGCACCTCAGCCTGGCGTGGGCTGCTCTGAGCTGGCTATCGGTGGGAGGGCTTGTTTCAGCTAGTAACACCCAGTTCTTGTGTGGAAGTTGTTTTGGGCATGGATGGCATGGCTTGTTTGGATTTTTCTAGCCCTTGGCAGATCAGTACTTAACAGCCTCCAACTTGATGCATGGGAAACATACAATCTCATAAGGAGAAGGTGCACTTCAGCCTCATTTTTCAGATGCTGGTATGTTCCTGGACAGCTTGATCTCCTTTTAATAGGAGATCACCAGATCCTGGTTCTCTCAACTTTTATACTTTGGACTGATGAAAATCCCTACCATGCCTCAAGCAAGAGCAGTAAATTAAAGGCACAGAAAGTGCAGAATTAGCACTAAGCTTGCTATGGCCTTAACACCACATTGCCTGGAAAATCCACCTTTTTAAGAGTGTTATTCCAGCAGATTTTTTTACCCTTTCACATTTCATGCTAACCAATGATTGCTGCCTAGAGACCAGGCTGGTTTACAGAGGAGCATGTTTATCCCAAAAGCACTTCCTCCCTATGGGACAGCCACAGGTCTCTTGCTGCAGGCTGAAACATCTTTATCTTGTAACAACATAATGATGATTTCACATGATGACATCATATTGAATGATGCATGTGATTCTGCATGGCTGGCAATACCTCGGTCACTGCCTGCATTCAGCCACTGGTGCAGAGCATGAGCATTTAGCATCTCCCTGTCTTGTTGCTTACAGCTGGAGGTGCCAAGTACCTGCCAGCCTGCCCCTTCTGGGCACTGGCAGCACTGGCACTTTATACCAGGACATGAACTCCCTGCCATCAATGAGCTCCTTTGGGGGCAATATGGTAGATTTGAGGAGCACAGTGGAAGCCACAAGCCAGTGCAGACAAGGATTTGAGATGAATGCTCCAGGCAAGGTTTCTATAGAGATCTTCAGGCAGAAGGCACAGCAGAGCTTGGTTTCATAGTCTGAATCCTTATTCAGATCTTGTTTTCCAGTGGAAACTTTTCTGAACAGGCAGGCTTGCGTATCTCCCCTGAAGTCCTGAGGTGTGAGTGGCCAGCCCATCCCTTCTGTAGTTGGTGGTTACTTGGTCATTTCACCTTTGCTACTGGAAAATTCCTAGTTGTTGAACTGGTTGTCATCCCTGGCTAATGGCAGTCAAAGGTATTTCTCTACTAGCCACTTCTGTCTTTTTCTTGGCTACCATGTCACCTGCCTGAACCTTAAGGCAGAGACTTGAGGCAGGTACTGCACACTACATTGGTCCTTTTCCGGCAGCACCACTGAGTTTTCTGAGGCCCTGCATCAGCGAAGCATCCCTCTTCAGCAAAGTACTTACTGCGTGCTTAAAACTATGCATGTCCTGAACTCCCATTGACTCTCATAGGTAAAGTGTAGCCTTAACTGCTTTGCTGAAAAATTGGCTGCTGAGGTTCCAGGCAACCTTTCCAAGTTTTGCAGCTGGCAAAGCGAGCAAAACTCTGGCTTGCATCCATAGATGCTTCTCTAGCAAATCCCAGGATGTCATCCTCCCACTGTACTTGGCCTTGGTGAGGCCACAGCTGGAGTACTATATCCAATTCTGAGCTTCACAATTTAAAAAGCATGTGGAGAAGCTTGAGAGAGTCCAGGGGAGAGCCACGAGCATGATCAGAGGGCAGGAAAACAGGCCTTATGATGAGAGGCTGAGAGCTACAGAACTCTTCAGCCTGGAAAAGCACAGGCTCAGAGGGGACCTGGTGGCTGCCTATAAGTATATAAGGGATGTACATCAGGATCTGGGGGAACACCTGTTCACCAGAGTGCCCCATGGGATGACAAGGTCAAATGGTCACAAACTTCTCCAAGACTGTTTCAGGCTGAACATAAGGAAGAACTTCTTTACAGTCTGAACCCCCAAGGCCTGGAACAGACTGCCACCAGAGGTGGTGCAAGCACCTGCTCTGGACTCCTTTAGGAGTCAATTGGGCGTTCATCTTGCTGGGATCCTGTGACCCCAGCTGACTTCCTGTCCCTGGGGCAGGGGGCTGGACTCGACTTTCCGAGGTCTCTTCCAGCCCTAGTGTCTATGAAATCTATGAAAATTATTACCCGCATTCAATCATTTCTTTTAATTTTGTGCTAGACTTTTGGTGCTGCCGATTGGGAAGTCTTTCACATTGGGGACAGAGTCTTCCTCGTGGTGGCTAACAGTCACAGTTATGACAGTGGAACGCTCATGCCAAGCAACTTGTATGCCATCAATTCCTCCATCTATGAGCTGAACATCACAGCGCAGATGTTCATCAAGTTTCAGGACCTTCTCACTTACAGGTACCAATTCTCTCTCCAGCTGTGGCAGTTCCCAAGGGGTCGGCCTTCCCAGCGATCACAGACTCATAAATTCATAGTGCTTTCCCACTCTTATGATTTTGGCCCCCTGCATAGCACAGGCCAGAGAATTCTCCACAGGGATTCAGATAATCCCTCCATAGAATCCCACTCCAAGATGCAGTATATAAGCCACAGGGACCAGATCCTGCCCTGGTATAAATTGTCCCAGTTCTTTTGCTTTCAGTAGTGGGCGCCTGTTCATACCAGCTGCAGTGCAGGCCCTAGATTTGGAAATGAGGGTTTATTTCCATTGAAGCAATGGAGGAGGAAGTGCTGTGGGTGTTAACAAGGAGTCTAGGCACACTCCTGTTCAGAGTGCCTAGAGCATTGTGTTGTAAGAAATCATACCGTTCAGGATGATGCATCTATGTCTGGGGGACCAAGTCACACTTAGTTATTGGGAACATAGGAAGAGAGGTAGCAACAGTGCAAACAGCCAAGAGGAGGGTTTACAGTCAGATCCAGCATGTCACAGGAGGCCAGGCCTGGGAGAAAGAGGATGGAGAAAGCCCCATGCATGGGGGTGCTGTTTTTCCTGTTCTCTGTTAGTTTGCACTTGCTGCACTTTATGCCTGCTGTAAGGAGGTGCAAACGGTGTAAGAGGAGGAGCTGCCAGGCCCCCTCTCTCTTGTAGAGCTCTGGTTTTGAGTCCATGTCACCAGTCAAGTGAGCCAACAACGCGAGGCAAAGTCAGTGTGAGGAAAACAGAGGGGGCATAAACCAGCATGGCTGTTTCTGTGTTTTGACCCACTATGCCCAAAGGGATACATACCATGTATACAGAGATGGAGAGAAGACACCATTTGCCCTGCCCTGCCCTGCCCTGGATGGACTGCCCGTGTCCCTGCTGGGTTGGGCCAGGCCTGGGTCGTGCTGCTGGCAGGAGATTGGACATAGGGCAGATCCCTGGAACAGAAACAGCCAGACTTCATGACCTGGGAAAATGCAGTGCCTTGATGGCCAGACGCTGTTTGCCTCACAGCAGAAAGGAGGCCTGTTCCCAGCTGCTGATGCTTTCAGCTTCTCCAGAGCCTGGTCATCTGGGAGCGTACAGTAGGTACACAGAAAAGGTCTATGAGTGATGTAAGGACAAGCCATCCCTGGGCAGGGCCTGGGGTAGGTGGGAAGACTCATCCCTCATGCAGCTGCATCCACAGCAGTGTCTCAACAACAGACTGAGCCAAAACAGCCCCTCCCGCCTGTGTGGCGAGCACACTATGCTATGCCTAATGCCCACGAGACGCCCACACCCTGGGATGTCTCTGCACTGAGCTCCTTTTGCTGGAAAATCAGACTGTTTTGCTATGTCCAGCAGCCTGGCATGAACTGTCCCTTTCCTGCCCTCTCTTAAGCCCAAAGTGACCTTAGCTGCTAAGAGGGCAAGGCGCCTTTTAGCATAGAGCTAATGACTTGTGTTCCCATCCCACCGGTCCCTGGAGAGCCATCAACAGCCACACACTGCTGTGCCGTGTCCTTCCTGCAAAGGCATCGAGTGAGGTCAGCTGTATTTCAGCCTGTGCGTAAACACCCTCTGACTCAGCCCCTACCCCAGAGAAGAGCGCTGTGAGTTTGTGTTATCTGAAGCCTATAGCAAGACATGCAAGGAAGATGCTAGAGAAATGTCTGCACTAGCCCATTTTGTGCACCTAGAAGGGTTACAATGGACAGCATAGGTAGTTTGAGTCAGGCTAATGCATGGGGGCTTCACTTGTGTACAGAGGTTGAACCACTCGACAAAGGCAGGGAGTGACATTACCCCAATGCAATAGGCAGGGAAAAACAAAGGCCCCAAGGCTAATTGCTTGCCCTTCATTGAGTCCCACCCCGAGAAGTCAGCGGGAGATGCAGTGGCTCAGCACTTTTGGAAGTTAGGCTGTAAGTGGCTTGCTCAGGAACTGGCAATACAGACTGCATCTCCTCTGCCCCTCATTCCACGTGCTGCTAAGCTGCATGGGAGTTTGCAAAGCAGGAACGCTGGCTGAGCTGATTTCTAAACATTGTCACCAGAAACAGGTGGTGTCCACACTGCTTTGTGCCAAACTGGAGACCACTGCTGAGAAGCCAGTTCTGCATGCCCCTGAGCCCAGAGTTAGGTAGAGTAGCAGACATAGAGGGAATCCATGCCATTTGCCTGAGAGCAGATCTCGGTTGCACACTCAAGCCGTCATCTCCACAGAATTGCTAAGGTTGGTTGTGTGTTCAGAGGGAGCAAGTGGTCAGCACTTGTTGGGTCTGGCAGGGAGTTGCTGTAGACATGGCCTAAGAAGCTGGATTTTCACAGGTCACCTCAAAGAAAGGGCTACACCCTGATCCCTGCAAGGCCCAGCCCAGTCATCTTCACCTCTGCTTGGATGTAGCAGCAGCCCACATAAAACGGAAAGCTTACCCATGCTTCACAGCCGCTCTCTGCCTCTGTGTGTGTAGGTCTAGAAGCCGCCACTCAGTGTGGCCACTCTGTAAGTAGCAAGTGCCTGCCAGTGGCTCATGCCCTTTGTTACACTGCTGAGTGCAGCATGGGTTGGAGCCAGTGGCTTGTGGAGCTGAGCATCACGCTACAGCTGTAGTAAGGACCTGCATTTGACAACATGCTTGCAAGACTTGATGTGTGCTAGTCTTGGCTTGACCTGGGATGACTTGACACTGGCACATATAACTTGTATCCACATAGGGATGGCCACAGCTGGGTGTAACCTGAGGTCAGTTTTGCCAGGAACTGAAGTGCTTGTGGAAAAAAGGGCTGGATGAACCACTCAGGGAACTGAAGTCCTTCAGTTATTCATGAAACAGGTGCATTGTGGGTACCAGAGCAAGAAACTCTCCCATCCATGTGCCCACACCTTGGCCTGAAGGAACTATTCCTAAGGGGAAAAGGCTACTTCATCCCATTAAGACTGTACCCTTCCTCCTGACTCTGACAGTGCTGGCAGTAGTCTCTCTTTTGGAGAGGACTATCTTCTAGAAGGTAAACTGGGGCTGCCAGCTCTGAACAGGGCTGAGGGAATGGCTAGCAGACAGTTATTTGGGCCAGGGGCAGGTTAGTGCCCTGACGCTGCCTGGAGATGTTTTTGGAGGCTGTTCTCAATGACCCTGTATGTGCTTGTTTTACACCACAGTGCTCTGGACTGGGAGTTTTTTTCAGTGGGAGAAGATTCTTTTCTAGTGGTGGCAAACTCGTTTGATGGTTTCACCTTCTCAGTCAACAGTATTATATACAGGTAATGATTCAGGTCGAGATGTGCTATCTGTAGGCTGGGCACAGAGGAAGAGCTAGGAATGGAGACAGCTGAAGTGGGGAGATGGGAGATTGATCACTTCTGTTGTTATCCCTTCACTGCCCCATCAAGATCCATTCTTGGGGCTTGCTCTCTGAGGAAGGGCAACAAGGAAGCCTAGAGAGGAGGCTATTCTACCCTTTCCTCTGCTCTCACCACCAGCTGGCAGCTCCTCCCCTTGGATGGGTCCTTGGGAAATGGGAGCTGCTTTCCAATGTACTTTGAGCTTGGCCATTTTAGCTGTATTGAACAAACCCAAACCAAGGAAAAGGAGAGAGAGAGAGCGAGCATGTGTGCATAAGAAAGCAAGCAGGCAAGCCCCCTCAATCACTCTATGTGGCCTCAGTTCAGTGCTGACCAGAGGGATCAAGCAGAGAGCCCCCCCACCCCCAGCTTTTCAGAGTGGATGTGGAGCTCCTACAGTGTCTAGAGGTCAGAGTCTTGACAGCCAGGGGACATGTGCAGTGTGGCTAGGAGCATGGGTGGATTCAGCAGGCCAAAGGGAGATGCCCTGCCCTTGGATAAGAGCAATACAAACTTTTATATGCATCTCCACAAAGGCCCAGCATTCTGAGCCCAGGGTGAAGGTTTGAGCTCTGACCCATTTCCATGTCTCCCAATGAGCATCTGTGGGGACGTCTCTGAACTAAGACCATCAAATTCCTTGCACAGAGCCTAACTCCACAGCCTTTAGATAATAATGCAGTGTCATCGCCAGGCAATTTTTGAACTGCCTTTCTAGAGATAAAAGGTTTAATGCTACAGGGTCAGTCAGTTGTGCCTTCTGGTCCTTACTGTGGCAGAGCTATAAAAGGCAGAAGGCAGGGGAGATTTGCACCTTGTATAGAGCTACAAAACCCATCAATGAGGTGTTTATCATGGGAGTGGATACAGCCTCTGTTTCTGATAGGTGGTGTTCCCCAAATGCTCACGTTGAGAGACCCTTGTCTAGTGCAGGTCCTCAACCATAGCCTTTCTGCAGAAGAAAGCAAATGAGGAGCAAGGGTGGGGAGAGAGGGTGCATTTGGAGTGCAGCTCCCTGCAGTGGGTATTAACTCCAATCCCCTGTTCTGCAGGTGGCAGGGATATGAAGGCTTTGTGGCAGTGCACCATCTCCCAACCTTTGGCTGTAGAGACTGGGAAGCTTTTAACACAACCGGAGGCTCTTACCTCATCTACTCAAGCGCCAAAGAGCCACTTTCCAAGGTGCTGAAGCTGAAAACTGTCTGACATGGAAACAGTCTTCGGTCTGCAAGGCAAAGGGCAAAGCCAGGCAAGGAAGTGACTTGTCCAAACAGGCCCAGGGCAGGGCTACTGCTCCACAGGAAATACACAAGCTCAGTAGCACCGGGGAAGTCTGAAGCCACCACAGTGAACACAAGAAGGACTCAGAGCCAGATGTCTGAGCTGTGCTCCCTGTAGGACCTGGAAAGATAGGGGAAAATGTGAGTCTAAGGCACTTTCCTCTTCCCTCATCAGGAGATGAAGGGGGTACAATGAAGACTGCTCTAAAGTGTGCTGGTGAGTACGGTCACCTAGGAGCTGCTGCACTAGCCAAGGTGCAGCAGAACATATCACACTACACCTACAACCCATCGACCCCTACCATGCCCCTCAAGGCTGGAGGCACCAGGTGTCATAGTGCCTTCCCTGTATCATAGCAGTGCCTAACTGCCAGCTCTCCATCCCACGTGGGTTCACCTGCTGGATGGTATCTGTGGAGATGTCAAAGTCACTGGTGCACAAAGGTAACGACAAAGGAACACAAAGGAGCATTCCTGCTGGGCA